AAGGGGAGCTATAAGGGATGGAATGAGAAGGCTCCCTGGGGTAGAACAGGAAGGGTCTCATATGCCATGCCAAGGCTTTTACAGTTTTAGTTCATTTGGTCATTCAGAAAAATGCACTGTAAACTTCTATGTACCAAACCCTGTGCCGAGTACTGGGGACACAAAATTCAGTAAGATGGTAGTCTTTCAAGAAGCTCAGAGTATAGTGCGGTAGAGCATTTAAAAAAACACAATATAGCACAAATAAGGGCAATGACAGGGGCATGTTTAAGATACAGGGATGGATGGAATGCCTGGGTGGCTCAGTCGGTTAAGCATCTGCCTTCGGCTCAGGTCATGATCCCAGGGTCCTGGAATCAAGTCCCACATTGGGCTCCCTGCTCAGTGGGGAGCCTGCTTCTCCCTCTGCCTGCTGTTCCCCCTGCTTGTGCTCTCTCTCCCTCTGACAGATAAATAAATAAAATCCTTAAAAAAAAAAAAAAAAGACACAGGGATGGCTGAGGGAAAGGGAATGATTAGATTGGCTTTCTGTCTGGGGGACAGAAGGGTGATCAGGAAAGGCCTCACAGTAGAGGAGACACTTGAACTAGGTCATGGGGGACAAATAGGAAGTCATAAATTGATGGTAACAGCAAACACTTGCACATTACTTAGTATGTGTCAGGTTCTGTTCCAAGCACTTTATATATATTGACTCACTCAACCTTCATAACTACCTTATAAAATAGATATTATCATTATAGATAAAGACACAGAGAGGTTAAATAACTTGCCCAAGGCACACAAATAATAAGTGGCATGGCTGGGATTTAAACATACGCAGTTTGGCTCCAGAGTCTGTGTTCTTAATTACCACACTATACTGCCACCAAGCCAAGAGAGTAAGGCCATTCCAGGCAAACAGGACAGCATATGTAAAGGTACGGAGGTATGAAACACCACACCATCTTGGGGAAATTGTGACTGGCTGACACTGGACAGAATGTAAACAATAAGAGCAGCAGGGGATGAGGCAGGTACCAGGTCACAGAGGGCCTTGGGTGCCATATAAAGAAATGTCTTCGGGCGCCTGGGTGGCTCAGTTGGTTAAGCGACTGCCTTCGGCTCAGGTCATGATCCTGGAGTCCCGGGATCGAGTCCCATATCAGGCTCCTTGCTCAGCAGGGGGTCTGCTTCTCCCTCTGACCCTCCCCCCTCTCATGTGCTCTCTCTCTCTCATTCTCTCTCTCAAATAAATAAATAAAATCTTTAAAAAAAAAAAAGAAATGTCTTCATCGATAGGTAATGAGAAACCACTGAAGGATGAGGCAGGGAAGTGACCTGAGTAGACTGTCTTTTTTATTTCTCTGGCTTAAGTGTGGAAGGGAGAATGAGAGAGGATGTCAAAGGCAGAGAGACAAGTTACCAGACCATGGCACTGCTCTAGATGAGAGATTTTTATTTATTTATTTTTATTTTTTTAAAGATTTTACTTATTCATTTGAGACACAGAGATAGAGAGAGAGAGAAAGCATGAGCAGGGGGCGAGACAGAGGGAGAGGGAGAAGCAGGCTCCCCGCCGAGCCAGGAGCCCGATGTGGGGCTCAATCCCAGGACCCTGGTATCAGGACCCGAGCCGAAGGCAGACACTTAACCATCTGAGCCACCCAGGTGCCCCTAGATGAGAGAGTTTTAAATTTAAAGTGGGAGATGTAAGGACAAGGAGGATTTTTAGGAGGCAGAATTGAAAACTGGATATAAGAGTTAAGGATAGTTTCCAAGTTTCTAGTCCCAGTTACTTGGTATATGGATTTAAAAGTACATACAGGAGGGGGCACCTGGGTGGCTCAGTTGGTTAAGTGTCTGACTCTTGATTTCAGCTCAGGTCACGACCTCTGCACTGAGCATGGAGTCTGCTTAAGAGTCTCTCTCTCTCCCTCTCCCTCTGCCCCTCCCCTGCTCACACTCATGTGCTCTCTCTAAAAAAGTAAATAAAAATAAATAAATAAATAAATAAATAAAAGTAAATACAGGAGAATAAAGAACAGGTTTGGAAGAAAAGCTACTGCATTTAAGAGGAATGTTATTCTCTCTACGCCTATTGCTTATTCTGCTTCCATAACCTTCACATGATGCATTCTCTTCACACAGGGACTCTCAATTGGGGCATAAGTGGGGACACAGAGGGGAGAAGAGGCAGGTGGAAGTATATCAGAATCTGGATGTTTGTATATGAGTGTATGAGTAGTTCAATTACTACCCTTCTCTTTTTCTTCCAGTTTGATATCACAATCCTGCCCACCACCATCTGTCATTGAGAGTCACTGTTGTATACAACTCCATGAGTACTCTGACAAAACAGAGACAGTTGAAAATTTTGATTATGCACAGAACTCCAAGACCAGAAGAGATTTTTAAAGACCATCTAGAATTCAGCAGATCTCAACCAAGGGCTACTTGGAAATACATGAGGACAGTTTTGCTTATCACAATGGGAGGTGCTGTTGGCATTTAGTGTCTGAAGGCCAGGGAGGGTCAATGTTCAGTAACTCAAAGGACAGTTCCAAATAATGAAGAATTACCTTGCCCCACATGACAACAATGTTCCTTTGAAGAAATACTAATAGGGGTGCCCGGAGGGCTCAGTCAGTTAAGTGCCCGCCTTCAGCTCAGGTTGTGATCCCAGGGTCCTGGAACGGAGCCCCATGGCGGGCTCCCTGCTCAGTAGAGAGTCTGCTTTCCGTCTCCCTCTGCCCCTCCACCCTGGCTCATGCTCTCTCTCTCAAATAAATAAATAAAATCTTCGAAAAAAAAAATACTGATAAAGTTCGACCCCACATTTTCCAGATGAGGACAAAGTGAGATCCTAGGTAAGGAAATGATTTGCTAAAGACCACCTAGTTGCACCGGAGGGCCTAGAACTCAGGGCTTCTGTTTATACACCCCTGCACTGCTTTCTAATCTGGTTCTGGTAACCCTGTGGCACATCTAGAAGAGGAGTCCAACTGAGTACATAGGTCAAGTACTCAGAACGCCATCTTGCTATCACAGCCCTGTGCACACCTTCTCTAGCCCCAGATATCATTCTCATCGTCAGAGATATAGGCTCGAAGTACAAGTCTGGCAGTCATCAGCATGGGAAGCCTTAAGATAAATAAGGTTACCCTGGCCAAATACATAAAATATGACGAAGCTCTGGGGAGCACAAATATTAGGAGTCTGGTGGAGGAGGAGGAACCAATAAAGGAAACTGAAAAGACCAGAAATGTAAAAGGTCAAGGAGGCAAAGGGAACCAATTACAAATATGTTTGTTTTTAGTGAAATAATTTTTACTTTATCATTAATTGGGTACCCATGTCCATTGATTCATTATTGTCTATCCTGTATTTATTCCTTGCCTCTTCTCTGTGAACAGAAATCAGACATGCAGAGGTTGCAAAGAGTCCATTAACACAGTGTTTCCCAGTCTCAGCTATAGCTGTGAAGGCCATGTGATACAGCTCTGGCCAATAAGGCTCGAAAGTAGAATATCACCACCCAGCCTTACTGAGTTTGTACAGAGTACACAGAATCATATTTCGTACTTTAACGTTCCTAACAGACAGGAAAATCTTGCAAAAAAAATAAGAGGGGGCTTGTTCTCTCAGCCAGCAAAACATACCATACAGCCAAAGTAATCAGAAGAGTAAGAAAAGTGCATGTGGGAATTGATAAATTAAAGTCTGTACAGAATGGGAGAAAACAAATTAGGAGTGGTCCAGAACACTTTGGGGAGAAAGCATAGCAAGAAAGAATTCATAGGTCTTCCATAGTAGAACTACACACCACCTTGCTACCACAGTCCTTTCCACATTTTCTCTAGCCCCAGATCCCCTCTCCCTCTCACCTTCAGAGATTCAATCGTGGCCTGCTTGTAAATCTTTCCACCAGGATCTTTCTTCTGAGGACTATTTTGGATTCTAGGCGTTCGAATGACGAATTTATCCATTGCTAGAGGACTGCCAACTACCTTCACGTGCTTGCAGCGCTTTCTGCTCAAGAAAGAGGGAAGATTCTAAAACGTCATAAAAACTGCTGTGATGTGTTCTCCCTAAAGTGACACAATGGGCTTCTATTCTATTCTGGAAGCATTCCTGAATACGAGGACTGTTGGGTAGAATTTACAGGAAAGAAAATTTCGTCTTAGAAAAGAAATATCTTCCTAAGAACTGAAACTGTTATACATGATCGGTGTAATTCCTGAGTTAGGAGGTGCCCAGCTTTTAGAAGTGCACGCTGTGCAGGGGATTCCAATATTGGGCCAGGCATTGAACCCGGTGACTTCTAAAAGCCTTTTTCAACTTAGGTGAGGTTGAGGCAGGGTTTAGTTCCACTGGGTTCCATGAGGCTCAATATTAACAACTACCCTACCATAATCACAGTCCCAAAGGTTCCCCTAGTAACGAGCAACCAACCACCACCTCCAGATCTCAGTAGGGTCCTCACAACAAGCAGCCATCTCCAGGAACTGCTCGGTGGTCCGAGGACCCTCACCACGACTGTCGCGCCCTGAATCCCTGGGCAAAGGGAAAACACCATCCTCCTCTACCCTCAGCACGCAGGACCCAGGAAGGGGAAACTAACAACAGTCTGACGTGAGACCCACCAGGAAAAGCAGTCCTGTCAGGAGCTGGACCCTTGCGGAGCACACCCTCTGAGGACCCACGCCTGGGCCGCCGGGGTCAGAATTATATTGACGCTTTCTTACGGGACGGTGGTTTCTCGGACCTTAGAGCGCCTCGGAACCTCCGCAAACCACATTCCCCAGCATGCACTGCAAAGGAGCGGGTGAGGCGCGCCCACGGCGACTGTAGTTCTCCGAGACCGACTTTCCCGACCCCACCGTGTGCCGCCGGTCGCAGAGAACTACATACCCCAGCGTGCCCCGCGGAGGGAAGGAATCAGGGAAGGCCTGTTCGCTCTAATACTCGCGATGATTGGATCCATCTCTTCTTGCCAACCTAGAAGAAGTTCTTAGACCTGGAGGTGGGGCGGGAGGCGGCAGTTTTGGGCGGGTCAGGGCGGAGCTGAGGAGACGGCGGAGGCGGAAGCGGCGGCCTGGGGGGCGGGGAAGGGGCTGGCCCCGGAAGGCGGAGGAAACCCTGAAAAGAAAACAGCAACAAGCTGAGCTACTGTGACAGAGGGAAACAAAATGGCGGCGCCGAAAGGGAGCCTCTGGGTCAGGGCCCAGCTGGGGCTCCCACCGCTGCTGCTGCTGACCATGGCCCTGGCCGGAGGCTCGGGGACCGCTTCGGCTGAAGCGTTTGACTCGATCTTGGGTGATACGGCGTCTTGTCACCGGGCCTGTCAGTTGACCTTCCCCTTGCATACCTACCCCAAGGTAGGGCCCGTCCGAACCGGGCTGCGACCCTCCCCTGGCCGCCGATCTCTCCGCTCTCTCGCACTTGTGTCGGCTTGGGAAACTGGGTGTCGAATCCACACCCTACAACCGCTGTCTCCCACCTGTGTAGCTCCTGTTTTCTTCCCTAATTCTACCCGCACCCATCTCCTGCTGTAATTACCGGAAGTTTGTGCTGCATCGACCCTATATTAGGCTGGGGACGCAGAGATGGGCAAGACATGACCCCGTTCCCCTGGCAGTTTGCGGGGCGGCAGGGGAGACGAGCACTCCGATGGGGAGGAGGATATGCAGTCAAATGCTCTGCCACTGAGCTATACCCCCTGGGGAGGAGGATATGGATGATTAATGCAGGGTCTTCACTTTCAAGGAGCGTAAGGGATGGTGGGGGGCAGGAGCAGATATGCAAGCCCACAAAAGGTTAGTTCATAACCCATGTTTACTGAGCGCCTCTCTGGGCCGGGAGCGCACAGTATGTTCTGGGAGTCAGACAAGCAGACAATTCCACCGTGGTATGAAATATATTAAGTCAGCCCTAGGAGTTGAGAGACGCACAGGAAGGGCTTTCCGCCTGTGTTGAATTACTGTGTGCGAGACTGCCACTAGGGTTTGAGGTGGCTTAGAGAAAAAGCAATTAGGTTTCTGCATTCAGAGAACTTATCGTTCAGTGCAGAAGACAGAGGGAATTCGTGGCGCAGGTATAGAAATGAGACTGCCCCTGGGGGGTCGGGGTCCCAGTTTACCGAGGGGAGTGACCCTGCTTTCACTTCTCGTCGCCTGCGGTTGATGCCTTTCCTTTAATTCCATTCTGCTTCTCAAGTTTTTTGTTTGTTTTTTTTTTCAACTTAGGAACTCTTTACTCAACATTCTAAATTGTGTGGTGACTCCCCACCCTTTCCCGTATATAATTTGGATATATGCGCCCTTCCCCCCACTGGCTTTTTTTGTAAGAGCTTTTGCTGCTGTTACTGGTCTTTTTCTCCTTGTATTCCTTTTATCTCCTCTGTGCTGTTGGCTTAACCGTGTGGCTAGCCCTCTTTGCTCTCTCAGACTACGAGGTGACCACGAGGAGAGGGCCGATGAACTTTAGGATGTTCCTTATTGGCAAATGCTTTCAGGTCTTTGATATGAAAAGCTCTAAATGCTTTCACTTCCCATATGTCTGTTTACTGCAGGATTTTATGTTGCATGGGGTTTATCAATTTTCAAGAAAAAGTGTGGGAGCTTGATTATCCTAAAATTTTCAGTCAGATACTAATATAGCAATGAGGAGAAAGAAATGAGAGATTCTGACTTCCAGGTTTAAATCAATGTGTACTGCCCCTAAACACATTACTTTCTTCTCTACTTATAAGCCTGTCATCATTAAGAAGATTGTATGTATCACTAAGATTTATTTGGCCTGGCATTGAATGGAGACTTATTTTGTATCCTTCTAGTGTTTTCTTGTGTTTTTTTCCTTTTTTGAGATTTTCCTAGCAAACTTTTGGTATGACCCAGAATGCTGGGAAAATAACTAACTACTATAAATGTTTCTGGAAACTTCAGGTACTTTTATAACATCCACTATTTAACAGTTTTTAACAATTGATGTGATGTCTGTAAGTCATTTTTGCTTCTTCATTAAAGCTGTTCTCACCAGGAAGTCGAAGTCATTTGGGTCCCTGTATGTTAGATGGACTTAAAATTTATTAACTGTCTACTCTCGGTTAGCCAGTTGATGAGAGATTTATACTAATTATCCCTAATTGTCACAACCATGCAAAGTAGGATTTTACAGTTGAGGCTCTGAAAGGTTAAGTGACTTGCCTAAGGTCACATAGCTAAGAAGTAGTGGAGTGGTAGGAATTCAGTCCTAAAACTGGCTACAGTGTGCTGCCTTCTATTAATAAAGTTGTATTAAAAATATTTAATTTACTTATTTCACTGATTTCTTTTGGCCCTCTGAATTACTGTGCTTTGCAGTTCAGGAAAAAGCAGTGTGTGTTTTAAGAAATTAGATGAATTAAGAAACTCACATAGCCTTTCAGTCTGGTATTTGCAACTGGAAGATAGAAATCTCATTTTAATGACTCTTTTTCGAATTAGTTATTTGTTGCAAGAAAGTAGAATATCTGTAAGTAGTTATTTTAAAATTCCAATATAGTTACCAATTAACTTTCTTCAAAAATGCAGTTGCATAATTTGTCTGGGTTCAAATACAAGAGACGTATGTTATGTTAACAGCAAAGCTAATTAGAGCCAACCTGGTCATTTTTAGAGTGTGGGCTCTGGAACTGTACAAGCCTGGGTTCCATTCCCAGCTCCACTTTTACTCTATGTGTATCTTTGCTGATCACTTAACTTCTCGTGACTTCATTTTGTCAACTGTAAAAAAAAAAAAAAAAAAACACCTCACACCTTACAGAGCTGGTGTGAGGATTAAAGATAATGTATGTGGTACTCTTAGCACATAAAACCAGTTTGGTACATATAGTATCTGAATAATGGTGCTGAATAATGAGAATAGTTAGCTTGACTTAGCTCTGGGAAAGAAAATGCATATATTCTATAAATAGTATCATTGAGGTCCCTTCTGATTATTTAGCTGGCATTCAGTTTGGTGGGGAGCACCATTTCCTTGTGCTCTAAATCAGAGGAGATACATTTCAGATAAGCTTGCCAATCATTTGAGATACATAGAGCATGAAATATTTACTTAGAATAATAGTATTATCTAGTACATGAAACACTTAGTTGGAATAAGGATATGATTTTTTTTTTTCTTGAAGATTTTATTTATTTATTTGAGACAGAGAGAATGAGAGACAGAGAGCATGAGGAGGAAGGTCAGAGGGAGAAGCAGACTCCCTGCTGAGCAGGGAGCCCGATGTGGGACTCGATCCCGGGACTCCGGGATCACGACCTGAGCCGAAGGCAGTCGCCCAACCGACTGAGCCACTCAGGCGCCCAAGGATATGATTCTTAAAGCTACCAATTGAGCCCCTACTCTGTGCTGGACATTGTATAATACCTTAAGTGTTAGCGTGGTGTCTGGTACTTTGTGGGTGCCCATTAAATATATTATTATTATGCTGATTTATTAGATAGTTTAGCATAATATTCATGATATTGTGGACGTAAAATGTATAATCCTCATCATAATCAAGATTGACATAAGAGTATTGTCCCCATCTTACAACCAAGGAAACTGAGACTGAGAGAGATTGTCACTTGCCCAAGGTTGTACAGAGCAAGTGGTGGGGCTGAGCTTCAAAGCAGGACTGATTCCTGGACCTAGGCTCTTTGCAGCATGCCCTACTCTCTTTTGAAAATGAGACTGGAGGGCTTATTGGCTTGGTTTAAGAAAAGAAAACCTACCTGAAAATGAAATGGCATGCAATATAGCTCATACTAATGAGCTCAAGCTTCCTCTGTGCAGTATAAGGAGGTATGTGATGCTCCAAATACCTAAGAGAATTCTTCCACTGTTTTACAAAGCTGCAAAAGCTACTCAGGTATGAAATTTATCTTAATTGTTAAAATTCTTTCAGTTTCACCTTAACAAAAAATGCAACTAGAACTCAGGTCCAAAAACACTCTAGCTTCAAAATTATATGTAACACTTGTTTAATGTCAGACTGCAGCCATCTCTTCTAAATGGGTGTTGCTGCTTCATAAGTCTTACTAATCCTTCTGCTGGAAAGAAATGCATACCTTTCTCTTCCATTGATTGCTAACTGGTATATGCACATGCTGTTTGCTTCCTTATTAGGTGCCCGCCAATTTGTACACAGTGGATCACACAGTAAGTTGAAGGGGCTCCCCCACATGTACTGGTTTGTGTCAAATACTGTATGTACTTCATCTAACAAAAGCCTGTTGAAGACATTGTTATTGGTCTTATTAAGCAGTTAACATTTCCCCGTAATGAAGAATCGACCCTATCCTGAGCTCCCATAGATAGGCAATGATGCCTGTAGCTATTGTTTTCTGTTTTAAAAAAATCTATTATTGTGATTAACACTACTACCATTTATTGAGCACCGTTTGTGTCCCAGGCACTATACCGGGAATAGCTATGTTCCAGCATTATTGAGGGGTTTGGAGATAATTTATAGCTATTATCTACTCTTCTGATAAGAAAACTGAGATTTAGATCAGTAAAGTAACTTGTGCAGCGTCACTCACCTGAACGATTTTAATCCAGGTCTGGCTGGTTCCAGAGCCCTTTCCCATATGCCACACTTGCTCTTGTTTGTGTTTTCAGTTAAAGTAAGCCAAGTTTAAAAGCGCCTTTCATGTAAGCATTTTTATAGATGTATGCCTCACTTTGTGGGGGCCTTTATGGCCCTATTTGCCATGTGAAGCTAGTCATGATACTTTTTCCTGAGAAGCCTGATGATTTGTATAAATATTTATGTGGCAGAGGTATGCCATTCATCCTAAGATACTTGCTTACTCATTTCTACCTCTGTTAAAGTTCTGATTATGTCACTGTTATTTTTATTTTCAAATTTTTCCCACAAAGTGTAACCTTGGAATATGGGAAAAGGGTATAGTTTTTTTTTTTTACCCACTAGGCTTCTTTCTTGGGTATCACTTTTAAAATAAGAAACTAAAACCTCTTTACATGGCAGAGGTCTTCGGTATTACCTGGCTCCTATCATATTTCTTTCTTTCTAAAAGTTACAAACTTTTATTGGACATTTTATAATAAACCCTACTAACTTTTTCTTTTTGACCTTTTTTTCCCCCCGAGGAAAAAATATATATATTTTTTTTTTTGGTAATCCTCCTTCTTCTTGAACTCCCTAGGAAGAGGAGTTGTACGCATGTCAGAGAGGTTGCAGGCTGTTTTCAATTTGTCAATTTGTGGATGATGGAATTGATTTAAATCGGACCAAAATGGAATGTGAATCTGGTAAGATGCTATGCAAACAGTATATAACATTGTGGTTTTTTGGGGGTTGTGTTATGCTCCTTACATGTTTTCCTCAGAAAATGACAAGCATATTGTTTAAACTGATTTCTAGCATATTTTAATTATTATGAGGTGTGAGTTTTATCAGCTGCTGCTAGAAATTTCATGGACTATCAGTTTCATCTCTAGGTTTCCCCGCTATAGGAAAGTAGAGCATTCCTATGAAACCTTTCCTGAGCCAAAATGGCATAAAGCAAAGAAGCAATTACCATTAATTTACATGGAAAAATTTTTGAGTGCTCTCAGTCCCCAAAAATAACCTCTCCTAGGCTTTTCTGATACCTTAGGACACATCTTGCTAAGGAGGCACAACATAAATCAAGATAAAACACAGATGCTCACAGACACAGTTCAAAGCTCTGGCGGCTGGATGTGGAGCAGCGTTCCCCGGGGAGGAGCTTGGTGGTGCCTCTCTTGCTGCTGGGGCGTGCATGCTGCCTCTGCAATGGCTCGCTGCAAAACAAACGCTGAACTTTGTTTTCGCTTTCTTTTTCATCAAAGCATGAATCCTCTTTGGATTTCTTTTGGTTAGCAAAAATAGGTATGAACTCCTGAAAAGTGGGGGCTACTCCTATTTGTTGAGACAATGTTGATTTTGTACTGTGGGTAGGACACCTTTGTGTAACCAAGCATTCGGTTTAAATGCAGTAGTAATTACCCTTCTCATAATTCATCACTACCTTTTCAATGGGTAGTATAATTTTCCTAAGCCTTTCAATCATAGGCCAGTTGATTTAGCTCAAGTTTTTTTTCCACTGAATCAGGCCTTTGACTCACTGTTTAATAGTGTATTCTTTGTGGGTCATGCTGATAAAAGAAGTAACCAGAGTCTGTCATCTCTTAAATCACTGTTCTTACCTTTTGCTGAAAGAGATGTGGTTAATAAAAGAACCCTGTAATCAAGACAAAATTGACATTTAACTTTTCAAAGAAACTATAATGGAATTTTCTCCATTACATTATGCTGTTTATTCAGTGTAGCAGGAGGTATCTTTTTCCACATCACTATGCCGTGACTCCTGTCTAGTCTCCTTGATTTCATGACCTTATTTTTTATGGCTCAGTCTCCTAACTGGCCATCTTTATATGTGCATAATGCTGTTCAATTTATTATCTAGCACCTTTGAGAAGTATATTACAAATACATGACTGGGTCGGAAAGAAAAATAAAATTGTTACGGTGGTAAAGTGTTATATATCACAAGAAAGAACTGGCTCTAGTGAACTAAATGAAGAGGGTGTGTACCCATCTTAACTTTGGAATCCTGCTGTAGAACACTTTCTAAGTTCAGTTTCTCAGAATTTAGGGTGTTAAACTGATTGTTTTGTTTTTCTTTGCTCTGGGAATACCCTTGAGTCTCAGCAGAGTGATCCAATTCTTAACGGTAATGTCACACTTTTGTGTAAATCACTAAAATACATTGTTCAACTCCATGAAGTATGGCATTTCCATTTTAAGCATATAGAAATCAACAGTTGGAGAGGTTAAACAGCATGGCCCAGGACACATACACAGCCAAATGTATATGGAGCCCAACTTCAGGATGCCAGACCGTGTTTTTTCCACTTTGCAAACCTTAGCGGTGAGGATCCCCTTATTATGAATGTCATCATCTAGCCTGAGCCTGAGTGTGTAATCAGTAGATTTATACTGGAAACATCTGACGTGTGGGAGGTAGAAGATACGGGGTTTATTAAGATAATACATTTGCTACTATTATCAAATTTTGAAAATTCATATTGATGAAATTCATATTGATGAAATGCTTTTTAAGTAAAAGAAATTTTTTTTATAAAACGCCAAATCCCTTCTTTTCTATCCTTCCCCTTTTTCTTTCCTTCCCTTTTTCTCCTCTCCTTCGTCTCTCTCTTTTTCCTTGTAATTTGACTGTTTTTCTCTTACAGCATGTACAGAAGCATATTCCCAATCTGATGAGCAATATGCTTGCCATCTTGGTTGCCAGAATCAGCTGCCATTCGCTGAACTGAGACAAGAACAAGTATGAAACAAATACTGCCTTTCAGAATTGTCTGCTTAAATTGCACTGACTTGTATTGAAATGTTTATCGCCCACTAGATACTGTTTTAGTGTTATATTTTATAGTTTTCAGCAAACAAATTATATGTTTGCAAATAGAAAAGTCAATTGCATAATTACTTTTGTGTAATGCTTTACTGTTAAAAGTTGCATTCATATCCATAATCTCTTTCGTTTTTTTTCTCTCGGTCCAGTGATGATATTATCCCCATTTTGCATATGAAAAAACTGAGGCTCAGAGAAGTGGATAGTTGAGAGTCATTTTTTTTCACCCCAACTGCCATTGCCTTAACTTAGATCATCATTCCTTTCTCATCTGTATTACTAAACTTGCAAACTATTTTTCCACTTCACCCTCTTCTGTCCATCCTTTAGTATGTGTTCAGATATTTATTTTCTAAATGGAAATCTCATCATGTCATTCTCCTGTCTTACATGCTTCAGGACCCCCTCCCCAATTACATACTGGGTTAAGTCCAAACTGCTTATCGTGGCCTGGCTCCTGATTACCTCTCTTAGGCCATCTCTTTTCCCCACCCCTCATACTCTATACTCCAAACATACTGGATAAAGTTTGTTAATTTTATTAACTTTTGCATAGAAAGTACAACTACATGGTATAGAACTCAGAAGGTAAAAAGAGTATGTAGTGAAAAATCTCCTACCCCTGTATCTCCTAGCCATTCAGTTTTCCTCTTAATGTAGCCAGGGTTACCAAGAAAGACATATTTTATGCATGTACAAGAATATATATATATTCCTTCTTTTGTAAAATACAAGTATACATAAAGAGTGTCTACTCATTCTGTTTTTCATTGTACAATCCATTTTGTGGATGTATCATAATTTATTTAAGCAATCTCTTATTTGGATATGTTGGTTGTTTCTAATCTTTTTCACTTATAAGCGATGTTGCATACTTCACACATTTATATCTATAGAATAAAATCATAGTAGAATTGCTGAGCAAGAGGTATCTGTATTTTAATTTTGAGAAGTAGAGCAAAATTGCCCTCTTTGGAATTTGTACCAATTTTTAAAATTGAGATATAATTCACATACTATAAAATTCACCCTTGTGAAGTATTCAATTCGGTAGTTGTTAGTATGTTCACAAAGTTGTGCAACCATCATCACTATCTAATTCCAAGCATTTTTATCACCCCAAAAAGAAATCCCATACCCACTTCTTTCCTTCTTCCCCAACGCCCAACAATGTATCACTTTTAATATATTTTAAATTTGTGTTGGTCTTACTATGAGTAATGTTAAACATGTTTTCTAATTTTTAAGAGACTTTTTTTTCTCTTAGTTGTATACATACTGAATAGTTCTTAATTTTTATATGATGAGTTAATTCATGGTTTTGTTCCTTCTACTCCCCATCCTTCTGTTGAATCCCCTTGATTCAGGGCAGATATCATTTCTTTTGTGAAGCCTTCTTAACCCCTTCTCACCTTGGTTTGGGTTAGGTGCCTTTCTCCATACACATGTATTACCCTGTTTTTAACCTCTGTCCTATATAGATTACACAGTTTAAGCACAGGTGTATGTTGATGAATAAAATACACATGGTCCCTGATCTCCTAAAATTTATAATCTCAGTGAATACTTGTTTGGTGAATTAATCATTGAAAAATTTCACAGCTATTAGTGGGAAAATTGGATCATGAATATAGATCTTTTGATTCTACAAACTGATCTCTTACTCCATAATGCCTCTCTTTTGAAATATAGCAGAACCAAAGCCATCCCTAGAGTGCAGCAAATGGTATCCCATACTTGTGCTTTAGAGGGGCCCACTGCTGCTAAATAAGTGAAAAAGTCAGAATTTGGGGAACATGATCACCATTCATGTTAAAATCGGTAGTTTACTATGTATATTCAGTGCATAGGTTTTCCCCTCACCCTGCCCTGCTATCAGATGTCTCACATTTTATGCATATATTCTTTTGGTTGGCTTTTTTTCCTTCCCCTTTTCCACTGATGTTCATTATAGCATGATGTATTTACATAAAAGCGTTAAAGATGAGAATGGTAGAATTTGTCCTTCCCCCTTCCACCTCTTGAGACCTTGCTAATCCTTATTTAATCAAATCTTAAGATTCTTCACAATTTTGGATCTGATTCAAAAGCCTGTTATTCTGATAGAGGTAATAGGTAGTTTATATGTGGGTATGGTGGCAAATTAAAGTAGCCTGGGATCTTAAGCTTTATCACAGTTCATTTGCATAGGAAACTAGGAGTTTAATGCTAGTTATTATGGTAGAATCACTTTTTATTCCCTGTTCCTAGATTTGGGGAATCTTAATTAAGTTTGTTCTCTTGAATATACATATATAAAAATAATAGATTTCTCATGATTTACCTTTTTTTTTTTTTTTAAAGCTCATGTCCCTGATGCCAAAAATGCATCTACTCTTCTGTCTAACTCTGGTAAGGTTATTCTGGAGTGACATGATGGACTCTGCTCAGAGCTTCATAACCTCTTCATGGACTTTTTATCTTCAAGCTGATGATGGAAAAATAGTTATATTCCAGGTAATAACTGTGCTTCATAAATTCATCTAAATACCGACAATAGTAAGTGTACATGTCTTAAATGAGTGTCTTGGCATAGAGCCATATACATCATCAAATAATAATTACTGATTTGGCCTACATTAAACATTGGGCATCAAGACACAGTGAGACTTCCCTCTGCCCATCGGAAGCCTATCTCAAGCCCATGGTCCTTCTAACAAGAACTCTGAGTCTTCGAAATTTTATAGTGGTTAAATTGATAAAATGAAACCTTTAGATATGAGAGATAAGAGTAATGAATATACTTTGAATGTAAATAATGGCATGAATATATATATCACATATGGATATTGAAGAAGAGGAATATACATCATTTTTAGTTTTTTGTAGTGCTTTTCTTCATAACTCTTGTAGGAGTTTATTGAAGAAGCATATTGCCTCCTAGAGAAGTAACTTCTCCTACCTCATTACTGACCATGTGATGTGATGATAATAACTGCTTTTCTTAAAGGTTCTTATGTACTAGGCATTCACATATGTTATCTCAAATCTTTAAACACCTTCATGAGGTTGTATTATCCCTATTTTATTGATAAGGAAACCAAGAGTCTAACTTTTTAAGGTCACCCTGCCGGTAAGTAACAGAATTAGGCTTCAGACTCAGGTTATTTTCATTCCCAGGCTTATATTCCACCCTACCATGCTATCTTCCTTTTAATTTGGTAGTTAAATTCCTCAAATGTACCACAAACTATGTTGTGGCACTTTCTCTCAGGTAATAATTAAAGTAAACCTTTTAATTATTATTGCTAATAGAATGGCTCACTGTAAGGCTAGTATGTGGCATTACCCTGAGTCTTAGGCCGTCTATACATAATTTGGTAATAAGTAAAACACAGAAGGAATTTTTTCTCTTTAAATACATGAGTAATTTCTGTGTACTAAAGCTAATTAGCTTAAAGCTTAAGTTGAATCTCAGAGTGGAGCCCTCATTCATTCCTAATTAGATGTGAGATGAGCTTTGTTTCTCTCTTTGTATTAACTTTTGTGTAACTAGACGGGAGAAACCCCTGCTCCAGAGGATCTGTCCTATATGGAGGATGTAGAGCATGGAGTATTTAGCTATAATGTATGAATTACTCCTACTTAGGGAAAAATGGAATGTTTCAGATGAGAAAAATAGAGATAATAGATGTTTAGCCCAAAATTTTGGCAGTCCGCTAAATTATTCTTGATCAACTAGAATTAGAATTCATTTTTGCAGGGTATGATATTTAATGCAGTATGTTGTAATTTGTCCCTGCTTTTTAATTTATTTTTAATGTTGTCAGAAAGTTAAACTGACTAAATACTTGACGATGCCAGAAATCTGTCTGTTTCTTTGCAAGGCACCGGATCTGATGTTTAGGAAGTGCAATTAAAATACATTGTGGCTAATGTGTTTTATTTTTTATACCAAACTTCTGTTACTTTTTCTCAATTTGAGTGTTTATACAGATGATGTGTTATAGGACTTGTTACTGAGAAAAGCGTAAGAAGTAGAAATGGCTTAATTGCTTTCATTATCATTTTAGTCTAAGCCAGAAATCCAGTATGCACCACAGTTGGAGCAGGAGCCTACAAATTGGAAAGAATCGTCACTAAGCAAAATGTCCTGTAAGTTTTATTTCAAGTAGCTTGGGATAACAACACTAGTAAATCTGGTTGTGGTCTGGAATTGGTTGTATGATTGTTCTTACACTAACAGAAAGTGAACAAATAATTTCTAAACAGTGGTTCTCAAACTTTAGAGTGCATTAGGATCTGGAGAGCTTGTTAAAACAGATTTCTGATCCCTACTTCCAAAGTTTCCAATTTACTAGGTCTAGGATAGGACCTGAGAATTTGTATTTCTAACAAGTTCCCAGATTTTGTTGATACTGTTGGTTAGGGGATCACACTTTGAGAATCAATATTCTAAAGACATGTAGCTTGCTTTGAAGGATATTTTGACTATGAACTAATGAAGTATTCTGATATTTCTGATATGCTAACTGAATAGTGAAACTATCCCAAAAGTGTGAGTTCTTGTTCTATTTTTATTTCCATGCTAGAAATAAATTTTAACTTATAGGAATGTATAATATCAACCTAAAGCTGAGCTTACCTTTTAAAATGTACTAGTTCATACCTTATTTTAGATAGTGATTTAATTAACTTTCTAATTATCTTGTAATTAGATAGAATTAAACAGAATGTAATTAAACAGAAAGTAGCAATGTCAACAAGAATTTGAAAATAAAATAGGAAATCCATAATGTGGTAGAATATTCATTTGGTGTTTAACATGCCAGAGGAACTTGCATTCCTTATCAGTGTATCAGATTACACTTACAAAAGCAACTGGGTATCTGTACAGTCTATATATCTAGGAGTAGTTTTGAGACTAGCTTTTGGGATATAGG